TCATTTTTTTTTTTTTTTTTTTTTTTTTTTTACCTTCCGAACACATTAGATGCGTTTAGAATTCAATTTAAAATAATTTTATTTTTTATATAAAAATAAAAATAAAAATATTTTTAATCTCATATAATAATTATTTTTAAAAATATATTTAGTAGTTTTATTAAGAGATTATTTTTAGTATAAAAAATTTTATTAATGTCTCTCTTTCTCTCTCTGCTCGAGAGAGGAGAAAATAAAAATAAAAAATAAAAAAAATGACTAAAAATAAAAATAAAAATATATTTAATCTCATACAACAATAATTTTTAAAAATACGTTTGGTAATTTTATCAAGAGATTATTTTCAGTGTAAAAAAACTCATTAATGTCTCTCTTTCTCTCTCTGCTCGAGAGAGGAGAAAATAAAAATAAAAAATGAAAAATGACTAAAAGTTATTTTTTATTTCTCTATCATTTTACACTAAACTAAAAAATCATTTTCATTTCCCTTTTTTGTCTTTATTGTGCAAAACGTCGTTTTAAAAACGTTTTCATTTTTTTCTCAAAAAACGTGAAAAATAAAAACGAGATCAATTCTAAACACGGTCATTGTGTTTCTTTGTAAATCTTAAATTTACTATGTAAATTTAGAACTTACTATCACAATACAATTTATGTTCCGTTTGTAAATCATGAATTTACACAATAAATCTAGAACTTACTATTAGAACACATTATTTATTATTCATAAATTCATGACTTAAAGTGAAATTTATGATTTACTTTTACTCGGTTAGATTAACTTTATTAATATAAGATAAATAATTTTTTTTAGTTATGCTCATAAATCTATGATTTACCGTATTATAAATCTAGAATTTACCATTAAAATATAATTTTTATTCCTTCATAAATTCTTAATTTACAATATAAATCCAGAATTTACTAAAAAAACTATATTTTATATTGGTGAATTTTCAATTTACAATGTATGTGGCAAGAGATTTTTGGACACAATGAGAGAGATAGAGAAGCGAGGAGAGAGAGACTGAAGAGAGAGTCTGAGTAACAATTTCATTTTTTTTAATTAGGAGTATTTTTAGAATGTTAATTTAGTATAAATCCAGATTTACACTTATTAAGTATGTTTACTAACTAACTATAAATCTTAGCCTATTTATTTTTATTGCCTTTTTCCCTCAACCTCCCGATTATTTTGACCTCAATGTGCAATGGTGCTTACTATTTCAATCATTAATACTTAAATAGTATACGAAGAAAAATGTTGAACATTTCTAAAAAGAAAGAAAAAAAATGTTAAACATGGATAGATATGTAAATTTAGGCTGCTTGATCTGACACGTCGACCCAATGGCGTGAATGAAAAAAAAACCACGGCGTATCCTAAGGTTTTAGGCAGGATCGAGCTAAGTGTGGTGTTCGGCCAGCCTCTTTGGCATAGTTAAAACTTGTTGCACTAACATGGAGATTAACTCAAGTTAAGATATGAGTAGAGGTGTTCACGATATCTATGAATCCACTTAATGTGTCCAATTCAAACGAATCCGTGACCTAGTAGGGGTTTTAGAATTTGTATATATGATATTATATATATATATATTATTATTTTTTTAAAATCTTTATATATGCATATATAATGACTTATGATTCTTCAAGGCGTAGAGCAAAAAGACCGTGTGCCAGTCCATTTGTGTTTTTTTGTTTTTAATCAAAAATCAAAGAACCCAACCTTGAAAACCCTAAAAGGTGAAAATCATCGTTTTCTGTTAGAGGGATCGTAATACCTCTTTGAATATGGAAAGTAAAAAATCACACATGAAAAAGAGAGAAGCACACAAGTAATTTATAAGGAAACATGTGGGGCCTGTTTGTTTATGTTTTCATTTTCATTTTTCACGTTTTTCGAGACTAAAAAATAAAAATGCAAACTGGAAATGTGTTTGGCGTAAAAGTTTTTGAAAAACAAAAACAAAAACGTTTTTGTCTTTTCTGAAAAACTTAAAACGAAAAAACCTGTTTTCATTTTCACGTTTTCGTTTTCTGAAAACGGATTTTTTTTTCTTCTTTCTCTTCTCCACCCTTTTGAAAAACAAAAACAAAAACGTTTTTGTCTTTTCTGAAAAACTTAAAACGAAAAAACCTGTTTTCATTTTCACGTTTTCGTTTTCTGAAAACGGATTTTTTTTTCTTCTTTCTCTTCTCCACCCC